CAGGGCCTAAAATAAACCATGTTTTTCTTAGATAACTGTTCAGTCTAACAAGAATGCTGTAAATGAGTCAAGCATTTTAATATATGAAGTCTCATCCTACATTAAAAATTAGTAGTAGAAAAAAAAATGTAACATTCAGGGATAAAAGAAAAATTAAAATAGGCACATAAAAACTTAATGGTTTTCTTTGTTTTAAATTATAGTAATATAACTCAGGCAAAATATAACTCAGGTGATTTCATAAAATTATTAAAATGTTTGGCCTTGGAAAGCAAGCAGGAAACATGGCCTAAAACATGCAGTTTATCCAGAAAGTGTAGAAGTTAGAGAGACATAAAAGCACTACATCAGTGTTACCAACACATTTTGTAAATCTAATTATAGGTGCATCATCGAAGAACAAAAATACCCTATCTATTAAACCTTTTTACAGCCTTGATAACCATTAGCCCTGGAAATGAAAATAGAAAGAGAAAGTGCTACAGCTGCAGAACTGCCTGCAAAAATAAGCAGCTCTACGGGACTTAAAAAGAAAAAAGAATACGAAAAGAAGTGGATTTGTAAATAAATTCACAGCATTTAATTACAGACCTGAAGTAGAGCCTGCTAAGTCTGCAGCAGCCTTTCAAGGCAGATGAAGTTTGCTTGGTGGGAAAGCCAAACCTGATTTTTAATAAATAGCATAGCCTGGATTTCAAAGAACATTGGATTCAACCTGCTGCTTCTGGGTGTAAGCACAGATTTGGTGTTATTTTAGATAATGTCTCTGGACTTAAGACTTCAGAAACAGAACCTTGTTTGAGGCATAACAATACAAACGGCTGCTTTAACTTCAAAGCAACGTTTAAAAGGTTTCAATAATAGAAACATTCAGCTAAAGCAAGAAAAGGATGAAACTCCAATGACAGAAATATCACCACAAATCCTCCCTGCTTTGTGCAGTGTCATTTCCAATGCACTTCAGACTATATAGAGAAAGAATGCCAGTGCATCTATTATGGGTTCACATGAACATGCATATTTATCATGAAAGTACAAAACCTCCTCTCAATTTCTATTTTAACAATGACAGAAAATACACAGAATAAAGAATACTAAATTGCTATTCTTTATCCTTCATTTATAGTGCAATATGATTTTAAAAAGAAATTTTAAATATGACATTTCATTTTCAGTTGTGCTGCAGTTTTATCCAGTTTTAACATTATTTAATTCTAAGAAATGGAGGAAATAATCTCTAATATTTTAATAAATTTTAATAGAAGACTACAAGTACATCTTTGACAAGCCAATGAGGCAAAACCAGGACCATAGAAAATAAAAAGTAAAGCTGAATAACCTCTGACACATGCTTACTTATTCTCTCCCAAAAGGAATGCCTAACTCCTCACTTTCACATCCCACTCAGAAGTCTGTTACACAGTTATTTTCCAAAACAGGACTTTTGCCTTTAGGTCTCTTCACTGTGGCATATGACACCTAACAGAGATAAAATGGATTTTTTTGCTTCATGCTTATAAACTTTGTTTAAATAAGGTTCCCCAATATAATAGTGATTGTCCTGCTAAAGGGAAAATGGAAACACTTGTCTTGTAATCCCTACTCAAATGAAAACACCAGAGCAACTGGCTTAAATATGACTCATTCCCTTGGCTTTGGGAATCTGTATGTCATGTCTTCCTATAGTGACAAAAATCTCCTTGCTTTCATCACTTAAATGAGGTAGAAAAATTTCTGAGTCCAGAAGCAACGTCCTGGTATGAAGCTGGTGTGATGAGGAGTCAGGCTGTTGCTGTGTTGTGAGGATGACACAACTGCTATAGACAACTCTTCCCACAACAATTAGTTTCAGGCACTAAGTTTAACACACCCCACTACTTACCCAGCACTACATTGGGCTGTCTTTGACACAAACACTTGCACATGATTATGTTTTATAGCTCAGCAATTAACATCCATAAGCTTTATTACAAAAAAGCAACACTTAAGCAGTGGCAGGATATCTTCAGATAGGTGGAAAATGTCACAATGCATTAATTTCTGCCAATATAGGTAGCCTTTGTAAAATGATAAAAGAGAATACTTGAAATAATACAGTAATATTATCTAATGATAGTGGCCTCTGGGTCTCTGGATGTTGGTCTCTGGGTGTAATCTGCACATGGGTAAGGAAGGATGGTATGGGAACCCTATTGACAACATGATGCTTCCCTAAAGTCAATGGTGCTACACTGATCTATTCAGCTGAAGGTCTCCCACAGCCTGTTTTAAGCAGTGTTAATATATTTTGAGTCACATATATTATGAACACATACAGCATTTCCAAAACACAGGGACTTTGGAAATTGTCCGGACTACAGTGGGTGCTTTAATGAACAAGATGCTTTGCAAGAAAAGAAATATACACCTCTCTCCAGTTTCTGTGTTCTATTACATTTTTTGCTCAAGTTCTCCTTAGACACTCTTCCATATTTACCATTCTAATTTTCTGACTATGGGAAGTTAATTTAAAAATGAAAAAAAATAAATTCCTACCATGTATACTTAAAATTCTGAAGTCTATCTGCATTTTACTCCATCTTATATGAAGACCCCACGCAAGGATTCTGTAGGCTAGATGATTCTAGCCTTTAAAATCCTCATTAATTACTTCCTTCTTTACGACCTATCAGCTCAGTCCTTGCACAGATGTATTAACTCTGTGTGAAGCAGAAAGATTCACTATGTGTTCACAGAGAAGATGTAAACTGTATGTAAACTGTGCATCACCAGTGAGATGCAACTAAACTGACAAAAAGGATGCTATGGCCAGAAAGTAATCCCTCTGAGAAAGGGTAATACCTGCTGTATTCTTCCACCTCCTACCTCTTCCATCTCCCCTCTCTCTGTTGAATGATCCTTAACTTCCATTCTTTGATAGGACTTACTTACCTACCAGCATGCTGTTCCATGTAAGCATTAATTGCAGAACCATAGAATGGCTCAGGTTGGAAGAAACCATAAAGAAAATCAAGTTCCATGGGCAGGGATACCTTCCACTAGACCAGGTTGCTCAGAGTCCCATCCAACCTGGCCTTGAACACTGCCAAGGGTGAGGCAACCACAGCTTCTCTGGGCAACCTCTTCCAGTGTCTCACCACCCTCACAATAAAGAAACTCTTTCTAATATCAAATCTAAACCTACTATCAATTTGAAGCCATTCCCACTAATTCTGTCACCATATACTCTTCTAAAAAGCCTCCAACTTTCTTTTATGCTCTCTTCAGGTACTGAAAGGTTGCAATTAGGTCACTCTGAAGCCTTCTATTTTCTAGGCTGAACCACCCCAATTTTCTCAGCCTTTTCTCATCTCCTGATCTCTTCAGCCCACTAATCATCTTCATGGCCTCCTCTGGACTCACTCCAGCAGGTCCCTGTTGGGACCCCAGAGCTGATGCAGCCCGGCAGGTGGGCTCTCACCAGAGAGGAGCAGAGGGGCAGAATCCCCTCCCTCTCCCCTCTGGCCACGCTGCTTTGGAGGCAGCCCAGGGCACGTTTGTGTCTCTGGGCTGGGAGTGCCCATGGCTGGGTCATGTCCAGCCTCTCATCCAGCAGCACCCCCAGGGCCTTCTCCCCAGGGCTGCTCTCCATCTGTCCATCCCCCAGCCTGTGCTGGTACTGGGGCTTGCCCATATCCATGCCAAACAGAGTAGAGCATTTTGCAGTTTCCGCTTTCACAGACTCACAGAAGAAGCTGAGTTGGAAGGGACCCACAAGGATCAGTGAGTCCAACTCCCAGCCCTGCACAGCATCATCCCCAAGAGTCACACCAGGGACCCAAGACTGTTGTCCAAATACTTCTTGAATTCATTTATTCACAGATCATGAATTTTCAGTCTGTAATGAATACTATTAACCTAAATCTTTTCATCCTATTTTCCCTTCCCAAGCTGTAATTTAGATTCCTGAGCATTTTTCTGGAGCGGTTCTCCTAGAGATGAACAGCCATCAGACATTTCTCCATCCTAAAAAATGGGGTAGAATATGGAAAGTGCCCAGAGAGAGAATATAACCCTGCTCTATACACTACTCCAGCCCTCCCCTCACAGTTTGAAACCTTTTTTTCTAATCATTTGATCCCAAATCCATCAGGGAAGATTTTAGGCAAATTTCATTCATATACATGAGTCAGCAGCAGACTAAGTCAACTACTTCAGAAGGATCAAACACTCCTCTTGCAAGCGCAGCCTGCTGCAAAGGTAAGCTGGCCTGTCAAGGCAACCTCTGAATTTGCAGAAGCCTGCTGTCCAAGATGCTACGGTGAAGAACTGTGCTCATCTCAAAAGCCTAAACAAGGAGGCAGGTGAAGTGTTAAACACCAAAGAGTCAGGTAAAGGCAGGACTTCGAGCCCTAAGACCTGAGAAAAGTGAGTTTACATTTATGCTGCTCACTGGAAATAAATTAACACACGCAGGAATTTATCCAATAACTCATTAAGGAGGGCATTCCACCAGTGTAGCAGAAGTAGTTGACTGCAATTCAATGCTTCAGTGGGTGAGGAAACAGACAGATTTCCCATCTGCAGCTTTCCTCTAAAAATGTAAAGTCATATCCTACAAATAGCACACCGAGAAACTCTCTCTAGAAAGTATGTGGATACCCACCAGGTGGGAATCACGGTAAGTTAATCCTCATTTCTCTGTATCTCACCATGCAAAAGAAGTCACAGGTTTTTCAGGAAGTTTTATCCTAGTTTCTAGATGCTGTAATCTCTACCACCATATGATTTATTTCATCACCTGATATTATGAAAACTCACCCAGGAGTCTGGCATACTGCACCTCCTGTGTTTATTTTAGTACAGTACCACAAAGCACAACTTCTGAGCTTCTCAGGTGTTTGCAACTGAAGCCTCAAAGGAAGCAATGAAGCCAGAATCACTTCATGACCAACTGGAGCACTAATGGCTTGGATCTTACAATGCTTTATCACAGAAAAACTCAAAGGGATTTAATTTACCTTGACCTTGTAGTACTCCTTGACTTCAGGCTGAATGGAATCAAAATCACCACTGATGTAATCAGGCAAGAAGCTGAAAGGAAAGCAATGAGCAGTGAAATGAAAAATTAATCCATCTTACTATATTTAATATTTATTTTCTCAAGAGTACTATGGGCTACAAGAATTAATCTTCATAAAGGAATATGATTTCCCTAAAAATCATGTTCAAACAAGTTGATGTGAGGTGATACAAAAGAAGGTAACAAACAAAATGTAAAACTGGTAAATCTATTATCCCTTTGCTGAGGGAGCTGCACATTACGTAGATGCTTATATAGCTCTCTTAGATGCTTATATATCTCTCTGGGTCAGTAAGACTTGTATTTGCCTGGTCCTAGAAAGACAACTTTCAAATATCTTTCAAATGTATCATTCAGTCAGCAAAGTGTTCAAAATAGCATATCTGAGTGCTGTACATCAAGCCTCAGAGGATATCATTTGTCAGAAGATGATGATGATGCTTCTTGGACAGCTGGTATGCCATAAATGTTTCAAGGATTTGTATTTTAGTTGTTAGTGATGTCATCTCGTTTCTACTCTTCTGGATTATTAAAAATATTCCCAAAATATGGAAGCAAATGCTCAGTGATTTTTAACTCACATGAACTTAATTTCAACTCCTAACCATCATTGGTACAGAAATATTGCTGCAAAGCACATAGAAATAATTTTGTGATATTTATCTTATTTTGCCACATGTAGATTTTTAATTGCAGAATGCTTAAAAATATTTATTGCATAAATTCATGTCAAATTCCTAATGAAACTTCCCCTTTGCTATAGAAATAAGAGTGTAAGAATATCTTTTGAAAGAATATCAAAGCTCCCCCAAAACAGTCAACACAGCTTTCCATCTTGCACAATTTCTTGAGTCTAAAGAAGCAGCTGACTGGTGAGAGAGTGTTTCCACAGTTTCAATAGATAAGGCTGCACTGAGTTCTGAAAGTAAAGCTGTGATTTCAGTTAACTCCATGGCTACCATATTTTACAAGGGGGATGACAGTTCATCAGCAAATTAGTTTCCAGCTTAAACTTTGTTACAAGGAATTGAGCAGAGTATATTGGGACATTTTTTTTCTGCCTCATGATTTCAGAAGAATGCTGCAGGGCCTAGAAACTCCTCATATCAGTAAAACTTATAAAAATCTCATGTTCTGTGTCCATGCAGAGATTTCAAAAGAGACATGTGGTCACTGGCAACCACTGGTTTTCTTTGAACTGAAAGCTGCTCCAGTAGAAGCTGGTAAGTACAAGTGCTGTGAGTTAGCTCATGTGCAACTATGGCATTTCAAATTCCCTGCTCTCCACCATTACTAAGGTTGTTATAAAAGGGTACATTCTAAAAAGAATCCCTCCAGAAGTGATGGTCCAACACCCACTGCAGTGAGAAGGGCAGTCCCTGCTGCACTGGGTTTGACTGAGGACACAGGAATCAAGTAGGAGAAATGCAAATGCTTCAGTGCTCTGTTTGATATGCCTCCATCAGTATGGTTCAAAACTAAACAGAAAATTAGGTTTAGTCCTTAATTGTAAAGACTGACCTTTCCAATGTACAAAAAAATATCACATTTTCAAAAGTTAAAATTTAAATAGTTTTTTTCTTTATCTTTACATGAGTTCCCTAATGAAATATTTACTGAATACAAAAAGCCTAAAAACTTGTAGGTATTCTCTTCCAGTTTTTTATTTTATAATTGTTTCTTCCTGACTGAAACAGAGCCACTAAAAGTAAACTCACTCTAGCCATTTCAGTGGTGGCCCTGAATGCAAGCCCTGGAGGTGTTCCAGCAGGCTGGGCAGGAAGAACAGCAGCCAGTTATCATGGAATGCTGGCTTGGTATGACATAGACATCCACTGTGATGAAAAAGCTGTTTATCTTATTCAAATGCCATATATAAATCCAAAAGTGTCTTTCCTTTTTAGTTTTTTTCTCTCTCCACAGCAGCTACAAATGGCAGTGCTTTTAAATAATTAACTATTTCTCCTGAATGCTTCAAGAGATATAAGTGGGAGAAGAATTAGCCAATAAAAAAGGTGCCTTCTAAGAATCAAGTGCTCATTCAGAGCTTTTGTTCTCATCCAAAATGAAACTATTTCCAATCAAAATCTAGTTTGAATTTTTCCAAGCAGAAGGAACAGGCACTTCAGTTGCACTTTCCATGGGCTCTGCTGGAGTTCCTGGCTGTGCTTCCAGAACATGTCTCCTCTGCCAGGAAGCTCTGTGTCCATTTTCAACACATCCTCTCTAAATCACTCACTTGAAGCAACCACAAAACCAGAAGTGACTAAAGGAAATAACGAGATGTGACTGGGGACCTCAAAATTTCAAGATGTCTAAGCCTCCCATTAATGATCATGAAGAGAAGAATTCCTTCTTCTTTTCTCCTTCCCTTTTAGAAACACCAGAAACAAGGAAAGTTCAGAAAGTCATGCCTGATGAATTAAAAAAAAAAATAGTAAATCTCAACTCCACTGTCTGCCTTACAGACATGAAAAAAATATGTCTGCTTAATCTTCAGAGGGAGGATGGCTGCTCTTTGCAGCTCACTGACTATGCAAACTAGAAAAAGTGTGGAAGAGATTTTACAGTTTTTACAGAGAGAAGTTTGATAAGAGGAGTCACATTTACCCCTGAAAGAATTCTCTACCAAGGTTGTTGATATAGAAAGCAAGAAAGAAAGAAGGATAAATAGGAGCAACCTGCAACTGCCTACTCCAATAAGACTTTGTTTGTCTCCCGTGACCAGTGAGTACAGTGCAAACTTATGGGTTTTGTAAGAATGTATAAAGAGCATGCATGTTATAATAAAAAAGGGTTTGAAGCCTTCTGAAAATGGAGTGTGTTGCTTTGTATTGTCTCTGTCTCAACTACAACACAAAAGTAAGGCAACATTCAGTATAAAGTCAAAGGCTGCATTTGACATAGTCCTTTTTGAGTTCTGTGGAACAAATTTCTTGATCCAGGTGAACAGATTTGAGTCAAAGCTCTTTCCAACAAACACAAGTGAACAAAGCTCATGGTGTGAAGAATTCTTGACTGACTAACCTCAGAGATTAGCACTGATACAGAAATAGGGGAAATAGTTGAGAGTTCGTTCTACGGAAAAAAACTTCATACTAAAGCAACTCAATAATATTTTTTAATAATTAGGTTTCACTTGTTTGCTTCCATATAGTTTTGTATTTACTCCTGAGTATAGACTCTGGTGCAGGAGAACAGGCTTGGGAGAATCACACATCAAGCTTACTTCTATTTGAGTGGAAGAAATGATGTCAGGAGAAAAGTAGCAAGAAAAGCCTCTCCATAAAAATTAAAACAGCTGCCCTTATTTAAAGTACAGATTAAAACCAGGTATTATATTAGTCTAACCCATGTTTTCCTGCCCTCTGAACTGAAATTAATGAATAATTCTTATTCTGATGCATAACTGTATTGAAGATGACATATTTCAGTGACATATCTGACATACATCCTTTAGTGAAGGAGTCTAACTTTTTGCCCATGATAGCAAAATATGTCTTTAATTCCTAGTGCAATTTAAAATTTTAATTTCTAAACAGTCTTGATGATGCAGTCTACTGCATTTCAGAACCATATTTTATCAGTCTCATTAGCTATTAATTATCACTATGCATATAAGGTCACGACCAGCTCAGCTGGCTTGATTCTCTGCTGCTTTATATTGCCATTTATCAGGAGTGAGCCAAATCCTTAATCCTAATGGGACTGAAAGTTCAAAATTCATGTGAGATCAGCCTAGTCTACAAAGTCTTTTCTAGAGCTGTCAAGAAGCATAACACCAGGCAATGAGCAACAAAAAAATCTTCAGAGGTTTGGGCCAACTGGAGTTTTTCTCACTCTTTTCAATCTCTTTTTGTTTTTCTGCATGTTGAGGGGTTTATTCTGTTTGGATTAAGTTGTGTGCTTTCTGTTGTTCTTTGGACTTGCCTTTTTTTTTCCTCATCAGGGTCTTTTAGAATCATACTGCATCCATCTAAAATGAGTGTGGAGTCACTAGGGCCAGGATTACTTTCAGATAAGGACCCAAAGGCACTTCCATGCCAGACTGTTTATCTTTTATCTAACTTCTTTTACATAAAACACCTATAGTTTCCACACGGAACCTTTAAAAGTTTACCTAGCTTAGGAAGGAAAAACAACACTATTTCTCAGCAGTTAGGAGATGGATACCATCTAGATGATTTATACAAACTGGGTAAAGGCTGAATGTTGACTGAACAGTTTTATGAACTCCCAGGACCCTGGGCTGGAAAACAGGGGGGAAAAAAGAGAGATTCCAGCAAGTTTGACATAGTTTCCATTTACCCCAGTAAATTTTTAGTCACCAGCACCATAAAGCAGCAATTGATTCTTATCATAGACAGATTACAAAATAAATAAAAGCTATTATACTGTGAGGTTCTGCAAACAAGAACAACTGTGCCTTTTTCCTCCAAGTAATACATCTAATAGACACAGCAATATTGTTTTTAAATATTCAGCACTAATGTACACTAACATTTAGCATATTTAACACCAGTGTTAAATTTAAAACATCAGAATGTTTGCTTCTTTATTCACTCATTTTAAGAATTCAGTGTGAAGTGTAAAATATGCGTTTTCACACAGTTATGAAAAAGAAAAATAAAAGCCACAAAAACCCACACAAAATGATCACACTGTAGCAGTTTATACCAAAAAAGACCCATGCTGCCTTCTTAAATAAAATGCTTGGGCATAACTGCTCAGCTCTATCATTAATTCAAAGTTACAGTTTCCTAGTACTATTGACTTTTCTTGTGATGCAGCTCCTTTAGCACATAATTGCATGCAATTAACCTTTTTTAAACAAATGTTAACATCAGAGACATGAGCATTTAAAGGCAGTATCTGCACACCCTTTTATTCCTTCAGCTACAGCACAGAAAATAATCCCATGCAGACAAACCATGTGCTCCCAGCTGTATCATCTGAGGGCACAGAGTGGGTTCCCTATATTTTTTTCTTCACTACTAAAAGTAAATTTGAA